AATTCAGCCTAAGCTACAGGGTGAGTGGGAGCCTGTCTCAAAGCAAACTCCATTATAGACCAGCAGGGCTCTTGCTTCTGAGGAGACCCAGAAATGCACACAGGTCGAACACTGAGAGATGCTCCTCCCTAGACTGGGCTGTCCCCAGACAGCTCACACCTAGGAAATGGCACAGAAGGGAAGTCCTGTCCTCTGTGCACCACAGCAGAGGCACCTGGCAAAGTTCATCCCTTGTGGGCGACGGGAACTTTGACTACCCGGTGAATGCCAGGTTTGTTGAGCCTGAAGCTGTGACAGAGTTGGACCCCACTCCTCAGCAACTTCCTGCAGACTCTGAAAAAAGCTCGGAAGGATGGCCAGACAGTTGTCCTGATGCCCAGAGGTTGACTCACATGTGTGGACCTGGACGCTGTGCATCTACAAGACAATGTGGAAAATGTCTACAAGTTTGGATCGCTATTACCTGAGGTCAAGCTGTACACTCTGGGTGCATGAAGGGTCGCCCTCAGCAAATCCCATCAGATTTGACAGCAAGAGGTCACAAGGGACGAGTTGGAGACAGAAGTGAATAACAAGGAATGCTGGTCAGATGGTGACAATTCTTGAACCTTAAGGAAGTTCCACATGGAGGTTTTGAGGTTGGCTCTTTAGAAATGTCTGCAGGATCTTTTCACAAGGAAAGTCAGAAATTTTTGGCAGAAAACTGTGCATAAGTATATATCAAGAAATTAGAAGACAGAGTTAGTAAAGAAATGAGGACTGGGGATGTAGTTCAATGCCAGAGGTCCATCTCCACCTGCTTTGCGAAAACACACACACATGCACGCTCAGAGAGAAAGAAAGGAGAGAGGGTTTTTTGGTTTTGTTTTTGGGTTTTTGGTTTTCCAAGACAGTGTTTCTCTTTGTAGTCTTAGCTGTCCTGTAACTTGCTCTGTAAACCAGGCTGACCTGAAACTCACAGATCTGCCTGGCTCTGCCTCTCAAGTGCTGGGATTAAATGTGTGAGCCACCACTGCCCGGCTGAGAGAGAATATTTTGTAGTGTGGTTTGAGGGAGAACTTGATGAAGCTATGAAGCTCTGGTTTCTGAGGAATGAGAAGAAAAACATCCCATCAGCTATAGTCAATGCACAGTACCTATTCTGTATGTGGTCTAGGTGTTATAAGACAAAGAGGGAAAAATTAAACTTACAATGATCAGCAATTATACATTAAACTTGATACATTGGGAATTTAAGAAATCTCCCACTGAAGGAAAAAAGAGAGACAGAGGTGGCTGACTCGGAGCGCTCCGTGAGTCTGAGAGATCCATGGAAGCTCTGAAGAGTGACGCGACTGAGTACACAAAAGCTTCAGAACAACCTAAAAAGGGGAAAAAAAGTAAGTCTTATGGGAAGATGTGTTTAAAAAGTAGACTCACAAAGCTGGAAAGAAAAATGGCGAAAGAGAGAGCCGTGAACAGCAGAGAATGACAAATCTACACCCATCGCCAAGGTGTCTCAGTTGGCAGACTGCAAGCACAAAAGTCATGCTTGCAGAAACAACTCAATACTGATTAGGGCAGGCCCTAGACCCACCAGGAAGCATGCACTGCTTACCCTGCTAGGAGACAGAAAGCGTGGGGCAACTGTGCAGCCCAAAGCCTACAAGCACAACATGCATGCCCAGCTGCTGGCACATAGGACAGAGTGGTGTGCAGCAGCCTGGAGCTCCCTTGGAAACATGTCATTACTGAATAGGGCTTGCCCTAGCCCACCAGCCAGACCCTAGCACTTAGCTGCTGTGCCTGCATTCCATGCTGCTCAGGGTAATGGAGCTGTTCCAAGCACAGACTCGAGCGTGGCAAGCCTGTCGCGGCAGGCATTGAGGGCTGGGAAGTGTGCAGCAGCCAAGAGCTCGCAGGGAACCTTCACCTGGACGGCCTGCCTCCCTGTAACATCACCCTGACTCTGGGCAACAGCAGGCTGTCCAGACAAGTCTCAGCAACGGTCCAGTATTTGGTCCAGGGCTTCAGATATCAGAAACCTTGAAGCAGATCAAACACTGATTCTCATGAATACTTGACGTAATGCTGTTTGGGCAAAATATCTATACTGTGTGACACACTGCAGTTTCCAATGCCACTACGATGAATGGAGAGGTAAGAAAGATGGAGGAATGGAGTGGTGTGCGAAAGTAGAGGCACAACGGAGATAATTGCCACCAGATCGTGCTGAAGTCTCTGGCACGTGTTGACTACGAGAAGCCATGAAAATGTCTGTGATCCATGCTGCTCACCGGAAACCTTGTGGAAAGCTTCTGTGACAACCCCTACTCCCTCCCCACCTCCACCCTCAAAAAGTAAGAGCCTAGAGAGGAAACCATGGAAGAGAATTCTTTAAAAGTATAATAAGGATGCTGAAGTGTAGTTCACAACGAGGGTTTCTGACAGGGGTGTGAGCGGGGAAGAACTCAGTTATCTTTAAGGGGCTGAACACAGGGAGTTTAACCTTGCTCCAGTGTATACACTGTATAGGCAGTATATATACAGTATATACAAACTCAAACTGGACTTGTGTTCTTGCTTGCTTTCTTTTCTTTTTTTTTTTTTATTTTTGATTTTTTGAGACAGGGTTTTGCTGTAGCTTTGGAGCCTGTCCTGGAACTCACTTTGTAGACCAGGTTGGTCTCAAACTCACAGAGATCTGCCTACCTCTGCCTCCCGAGTGCTGGGATTAAAGGCGTGCACAACCACCGCCCGGCTGTGTTTTTGCTTTCTTTAGTTTTGTTTTTCTCTTCTTTTTTGGGGAGAAGGTCACAAGGGTCGGGGGCAGATCTGGGAAGACTGAGAAGTGAGGATGATTGGGATGCAAGATGTGAAATTTCTAAATAATCAATAAAAATATTATATTGGGAAAAAAGTACTGAATGGACAGAAAAAAATAATCTCCCCACTGAAAGTAGTTAGTATAACTAAAATAAACATCCCAGAAATTAACCCTCATGTGTGTGGTCAAGTAATTTTTAACTAGAGTGCCAAGACAACTTAATGGGAAAAGAATACTTTCAAAAACAAAGGTTTTCGGCTAAGCAGCCTGTGCACATACAAAAGAATGAGGTAGGGTCCTTATCTTCCATGATATAAAAAATGAACTCAGCCATATGGTGGTGGCACACACCTTTAATCCCAGCTCTTGGGAAGCACAGGCAGGTGAATCTCTGTAAATTCAAGGTCGGCCTGGTCTACAAGAGCTAGTTCCAGGACAGGATCCAAAGCTACAGGGAAACCCTGTCTCACAAAAAACAAACAACACAAAATAAACAAAAAACAAAAAACTCAAGGGCCAGGGAAATGGCTTGGTAGGTAAAGTGCTTGGTAGGTAAAGCGCTTGCTGTAGAAGCACAAGTACTTGGATCCAGATCTCTAGAATCCACATGAGAACACGATGGCACACATCTGGAATAACATTGCTGGGGAGGCAGAGATAAGTGGATCCCAGAGTCAATGGCCAACCAGCGCCACTGGAACTGCAAGCTTCAGGTTCAGTTATGGACCTTGTCTCAAAAAATAAGGTGCAATGTGATTGAGGAAGACATCTGATATCAATCTCTAGTGCACACAAACAGGGAAGCACATACAGACATCATACACACAGTGTCAAATACAAGGAACTAAAAATGTATGAAAAACTAAAATAGATCAGTTACAACCATAAATGCTAACAAGTAAATACTAGAGGAACTTCTCAACATTATAGTTGGGGATGATTTCTTAGATACAATATCAAGTCAGAGAGCAAAACTAAAAGTTCACAGAAGCCAGAGACCAACAATTTAAGGTCATCTTTAATTTGATCTTTGACTACATTAAGCCCTGTCCCTAAAAACAAAACCAAATTTCTGTACATCAAAGGACACAAAACAGCTGTGCTTAGTGGTGCATGTCTTTAATCCCACCACCCTGGATATAGAAGACTGTCTAGTAGTTCTAGGTCATTCAGGGCTACATTTCCAGACTCTGTCTCAAAACCAAACAGGAACACAATTAAGAAAACGAAAAATGAAACCTACACATTGAGACAAAGTATTTGATAGACATATTAATGATTATTAATAACAAAAGTAAATGCCTACAAATCGGGGCTGGAGAGATGGCTCAGTGGTTAGAAGTGCTGGCTGTTCTTTCAGAGATCCTGAGTTCAATTCCCAGCAACCACATGGTGGCTCACAACCATCTGTAATGAGATCTGGTACCATCTTTTGGCCTGTGGGCATACATGGAGGCAGAATGTTGTATACATAATAAATAAATCTTAAAAAATGCCTACAAATCAGTGAAAAGAGCTCTGATTAAAGAAATAAGGTCGTGTGTGGTGGCACATACCTGTCAATCCTAGAGCACTGGAGGGTGAGGCAGGTGAACCTTAAGTTCAAGGCCAGCCTGGGCTGCAGAGCAAAACAGTGTCTCAAAAATGAAAAAGAAAAGACTTATGTAGGCAGTCCTCAAACAGCAATTAGCTTTTCATACTGTGTCAATATATCATTCTTCAAAATAAATAAATTTACAGGTTTCAAAACAGGAATATCACATTCCCTATCAAAAATAATCTTGGATAAATGTGATTCCCCAGAGGAGCATATATTTGGTGCTCAGTTAGAAATCATTATGTTTTTTGATTGTGTGTGTCTTAAAAGAGCTATTTATTATTTTATTTATCTATTTATTCATCTATTTATTTTTGGGGGGGAGGGATTCAAGACAGGATCTTTCTGTGCAATAGTTCTGGTTGTCCTGGAACTTGCCTTGTGACCAGACTAACCTTGAACTCAGAGATCCACCTGCCTCTGTCTCCCAGTGCTGGGATGCTGGGATTAAAGGCAAGCGCAACCACCACCTGGCAAGATTGATTGATTGATTGATTGATTTATAAACATTGGTGTTTTGCCTGCATCCATGTCTGTGGGAAAGTTCTGGAATTAGAGTTACAGCTGTAAACTGTCCTGCGGGTGCTGGGAATTGAACTCAGGTCAGCAGCCAGTGCTCTTAACCACTGAACCACCTCTCCAGCCCGGGAAATCATTATTATTCCTAATGCAACATCACTTGAGATCCAGCTCAGTGTTGAGCGCATAAATTAAGGCAAACAGAATCTTAGGCAGGAATACTATTTTAGTGCACTTTTTTAAAATTATTTTTTTAATTTATTTTTCTCTCATACAATTCATCCAGGCCGCAGCTTCTACTCCCTTCACTCCTCCCAGTGCCCCTCCCAATCCCCCGGCCAAGTACACGCGTACATACACCTCCCCTCTGTGAAGCAAGAAGCCTTTGGAAAGGCTGGCGCTCGTCCTGAGCATCGCAACTTGTGATTGGCTTAGACAACATTTCTCCATTGGCTCCCCACATTGCCTCGCCTACTCCATGCTTGGCTTCTTCTCCTTCCTTTGCCTAGTGGCTTGCGGGTTAGCAAACGTTTGCTTCTCTGCTCTGCTTGCTTCCTCTCTGCCCTTTTGGCCTTAGCACGGGACATGTTGTCATCCTTAATCTGCTCTGTTCTCCTTGGCTTCGTGCTCAGCCTCCCGAGTCTCTGAGTCTCACGGTCGGTCATCTCCTCGAGGTCTCATCTGGACCCACGGTCTAGCCTTGCATCTCGGTCGCCTCGCCTCATCTCAGTCTCACCTTCCTGTGTGGTTTCACGTCCTGGTTTGTCTCTAATCTACAGGTTTGTGCTCTGCCCAATCAGCCATGGAAGGTGACCGAGTGGACCCAGAGGGCAGCCTGGATGCTGCCAGAGTGGAGGGAACAGAGGCCTTGCCACCCCCACTCCAGGCCTCAACTCCTGTAACTGCCAGGGCGCACTCAGTTGCCACGCAGGGCCGTTTGACAGGGAGCAAGACAAGGCTTCAATGCCGCTCAGGATCCAGGCTTCCTAACCTGGAGTGGGAGGGAGCCAACCAGGAGGAGCACCTCATTCCTCTCTCGCAGCTGACTCCCTACATCTCCTGTTACATTTGCAAAGGCTACTTAATAGATGCAGCAACCATCACAGAATGTCTCCATAGCTTCTGTAAAAGCTGCATCATAAAACATTTTGAACATAGCAACACATGTCCAAAGTGTAACACTGTAGTGCATGAGGCCAAACCTCATAATAACCTGAGGTTGGATCCACAATTACAAAGCATAGTGTACAAATTAGTGGCAGGTCTAGAGGAAAAAGAAGAAAAGCAAAGGCATGAATTCTACAACGAAAATTGTCCGCAGCCAGGCCCTTCAAGCGCAGGGAACACTAAGGGAGTTGTAGAATCCTGTGTTCATTCATATGAACTTGATACGTCTTTAGTCCTGGAGTCTATGGGTACTAATGCAGACATTGAACATTTTAAACCACTCCAGATGAAATTTGTGCGAGTCTCAGGAAAAGCAACCGTTGGACATATCAAAAAATTTCTCAAAAGAAAAATGGACCTTGCTGCAGTGTATCGGGTAGATATCATGTGCGGTGGGCAGTTGCTGAAGGACTTTCAAACTCTGCAAGAAGTCCAGTGTACAGTCGGGGATGCTGGGATGCAGGATGGTCTGCTAGTCCTTTATTACGGTATTGTGCTTTCTCCTCCCAACGTGACTTGCTAGGAGGGACGGTATGAAGGGACAGAAAGTAAGAAGGCCTCTGCAGAACTGCATCTTACTGAAGAGTGCCAGGAAACATGGAATCCCTAGAATTTGTACTGTTTCTGACACGCCTGTTTCCTGCATCCGGAATCCTACATTTAAGGCACAGCTTGGAACTATGGGATAGAAAACAATGACTTTTTATATTCCTTGGGATTCCAAGAACTGTGACGTTGAGATAAGTTGTTGACCGTTTCCTCTTTGGTTGAGCCTGCTCTCTTTCAAGTTGGTTGAAATTCTGCTGTTTGTGCTGACTTCCAGTGGTCGTCTTTTTGGAAAACAGCACACAAGAGGTTCAAGGCCTGTCTTCCTTAAGTTGCAGAGCAAACTCACAAAGACTATATTTGTTTTTGCTGCTTTTGTATATTGCCGTAATATTTTGAAGCTACTTGTTCTTGTAACTGACAGCACTCCTGAAGAGATGTTACTCAGTTCTAAAAGGTAGGAGTTACTATATTAGGGGAAGAAACTGCCTCCAGTAGGGTGTATAACTGAAACCAAAACCTTCAGTATAGTAAGACTTCTTAACATGCCTTAAAATAAGAGGTGTTCTTCTTGACTTATACATATATAAGTTATTAAATATACATTAAACTAAATATATATGTTGCATACACACCATTGTTGCTATCTGTGCTACTGGTGTAGTGTGACATCAGGCAAAGATCCCTGTAGAATGATTGCTGATACCTTGTGATGGTAATGGTACCACTTGTGAAATAGAAAAATTCAATTTAACTTCAGATGTTTATAGAGTACTTACTTATTGTTTCTTCAGCAAGTCAGTTTTACTGATTTAATGTTTGCTGTCCGTTTTCCTGTTATTTTGTCACTGGAATTAAAAAATAAGGTTGTTTGTAAGCTCACTTTAATGTAGAGAATTCAATTTTAAACAGTCTTTTTTATACCCCCCCCCCAAATTCATATCCTGATGCTTTCTAAAAGATACCTTACAGGCTCTGTCTCACAGAAGGAAAATTTTAAAGTCCGTATTGGAAACTTTAAACATTGGACAAAGAGTGGTAATTGTAAAGAACTTGTGAACTCACTGGGTATGGTGGTACACGCCTGTAATCTCCGAATTTGGGAAAGGAGAGTGGAGGATCAGGAGTTCAAAGTCTCCTTCAGGCATCACTATTGGGAGATGCTGAAAACTTTGAGAAGGCTGGGAGTGGGGACGGGAGCATTAGGAGTGTAAGCTTGAAAGTCCATTGTGACACCCTGTTCTCTTCTTTTGGCCACGAGTTGAATGCTCCCTTCATGTTGTGCTACCTCACCACAGTCCCAAATCAACAGGAACAAGGAACCAATGGACTGGAACTATGGAAACTGTGAGCCAAATGAACATTTTCTCTTTTTAGGCTGATTATATCAGTTATTTGTTCTAATAGTAGACAGCTAGCACCATAGTCTTGCATTTGCAGTTGATATGGAGGTACCTGCTAGTGAATTGTAGTGGATTATTATAGTTGCATGTTGTAGTTTGCATTTTAATACAAATTGGATTAGTAATGATGGCGACATTTTCTACTACCGTCTCCTTCCAGGTTTTCAGTGCGATGCACTCAGATTGGTACAGCACCCTGATGTCTACCTCTCAATGGGACAGCTCACAAGTGCCTGGCTCACTAGAAGACCTCCATAGCTGGCATCCACTGTGCAGACAGGCCGCAAGAAGGACCTTTTGCTTACAGCATGACTCCATGGAGCTTTGGCACCGATGCCTGCCTAGTTGTTTTTGCTTTTTGGGTTTTGTTTCGGTTGTCTTGTCTTTTTCCCTGCCCACTGGTTGAGCAGGTGAGTGTGTATTATACAGGCTTCAGGTTGTTGTCTTTTCTCTTAAATTTAAAGTCATATAAACTGATTCTGTTACTTCATGCATGTGTCATGTGTCTCTGTGTTGGTTTTGTGCTGCCCCTCTTGTGTTATGTTGGACTGGCGCACCGCAGAGAAAGTTTCTGGGTAAAGGCTTTTGTAGGTAGTGGCTATCCGGTAAAACTAAAGTGGAACCGAGCCAGTCAAGAGTCATAAGGGTATCTTTCCTAGCCATGGATTCTGGAGCTCTATCAAGACAGGGCTCCAGGGAGACACCTCAAGTTCAAGTTAGAGGAAAATAAATACTTAGCTTATCATGGAGGTGTATGCCCTGCCTTGAGAGGCATCACAAGACATGTTCAGATTTATTTGGCTTGCTATCTGGCCCTCCTACCTGACTAAGACCATGTGGGAAGGCTCTGGGACTTGCTGATGTGTCTCTGTTGCTATCCACTGTTGCTGCTTGTCGTGTTGTCTTGGTCAAATCTTACCCACTCCCCAGCTAAACTGGATAGGTATGAAAAGGTCTGAATTCTTCCCAGAACGCAAGAATTTCCAGTGTTCATATCCCATTGAAGGTGTCCACATGGTACTACTGGTCATTTTGAAAAAGAACTACTAGTAGAACTAAATTGAGTCTACTCGCAAGGTTCCGTCTGAGCTCCAGTGGCTTGTTCCAGTGAGGCAGAGGGGAAAGGGTTAAGCTCCAGGAAACAGCTATCAGGTAGATACTGGGCAGGCGCAAAGACTAGCAGATTGCAAAAGAGGGGCTCACATTCTGTCCACCTACTAACTTAGTGAGGCAGTAAATGAGGCTGGAATTTTCAGCCTGGCAAAATAAGAGTGTCCCATTGACTAGAGAGATAAGAATCCTCACCAGCCAGAGCGGCACTGCCTTCCCTTGCCCCGTGTCTCCTCACGTCCTGACCTATCCACCGCCAGCTTCTAGGGGAAAATGACAAAAGACATAATGCTCCCTGTTAAAGGCGGCGGGGCCATCTCGTCCTCACCCCTGCCCCGAGAGCCTGAGGGTACAGAATGGAAAAGGCCTGGCCAGTGCCTCTGTGCACTGCACGGTGCTCAGGACCTTGCACAGGGATCCTGCCCTCCTTGCTTTGGGGACACTTGATCTAAACCAGAGGAGATCCACTGGGTCCCCCTGGAGAAGGCAGTGGCTGCCCAGCATTGGATACTATGGGACCCACAAATGGAGACCACTACCCACTTGAGAAGTCCCTGGAAACTCTAGGAAGTTGTCGGGTGAGCATCCCAAGATAGAGGAAATATTCTTTAAAGCCACCTAGATACCAAAGCTACTCTAGAGATTCTGCCTTAAAAGGATGGGGGAAGGCAATCGTGTTTTTTATTCTGTCCTTTGGGAGGAAGGGTCACAGGAAGACTCCGGCCTGCAGGAACCAGGTAACTTCCTCTCCTGCATTTCCTCTTAGAAACCAGGAAGATCAAGGAAAACCTGAAACTCTGAGGGTAAAAGTCAGGAGTGGGGGATGGGGAACACACAAGCAGCTTACATCACCTATGAACCTAAAGGAAATAATAGCCAAAAAAAAAAAAAAAAAAAAAAGCAAAACAAAAAAAAAACCTTGCTGCTATTGTGGCCTCATGCCCAAGGGAAAAACGGAATTCTGGGGGCTGAAGCAATAGCTCCTTTTCCAAAGGACCCAGGTTCAATTCCCAGCACCCACATAGCAGCCCACAGCTGTCTGTAACTCCAGTTCCTCACACAGACACACATGTAGGCAAAACACAGATGTCCATTTCAAAAAAATCTTTTAAAAAGATAAATTCTGAACTTTAATTACTAAGTAAACACCACATGTGGGGAGCACAGCGCTCCTCCAGATTACTTACCGTTCTGTAAGCAAACACTAGAGGAGACAAACGGGAAGCTGAAACCATTATAAGTATACAGCGTTTTAATATCTAGTACCGGATAGATTATGCTCATGCATCCATAAAAGAGAAGTAAATTTTCATAAAGGTACATACTTGGATTCAAAGTTGGTTTGGATACTTACTGGTTTCAAATTTGAAGAGCCAAATCAAACGACCTACAGTTTAATTCAGATCTGGCCAAAGGTGGGGCTCACATACCTCCAGTGTCCTACAACTCAAAGCTCCACCAACTGAAGCAGCAACTGATGCATCACAACGTAATAACAAGTCAGTGCCAGGCCTTGACTATAGGCTAATGTTCTCCCTTGTTTTTTGAGATAGGGTCTCTCATTTTCTGAAGGCTCACGCTTGGGTTGTTTGGCTGCCTACCTGCTTAACTCCAACTTCCAACTTCTCCCTTGTTGGGAGTATACAGGTGGTTTTTTGTTGTTGTTGTTGCTGTTGTTGTTTTGTTTTTTAATGTGGGTACTGGGTGAAGCAAGGTCAGGGATAGTTGGGCCAATGTGGAAAACAGACTGGCTCCTTAAGGAGGAGCTGCTGCTGCTCTCCTGCCCCAAGGATGTTGGATTCATTACAATTTGCTAACTGAAGGTGGTCAGGACAAATGAGGGAGAAAGATCTGCCTCCCTAGGGCTAATATTAAAGACCACCACTAAGCCAGTTTTTTTCTGTTTTTTTTTTTTTCCCCCTGAGACAGGGTTTCTCCATATAACCTTGCGTGTCCTGTAACTGGCTCTGTAAGAGGACCACCCTGGCCCTTGAACTCACAGATCCACCTGCCTCTGCCTCCCAAGTGCTGAGATTAAAGGAGTGCATCACCATTGCCTAGCCTGAACTGCTTTCTCAGTGACAGTCATTTGTAGGTTTTTACCAGGCCTGAATGATGAAGTGACTAAAGTGATGACGTCTAGTCCTGACTCCATTTCGTGTCTGCTTAGATAGCGTCCTCCTGCCACACACCCCCATAGCCACAGCTGCCCTGGCAACACTCTGGAACTTTCTGTGACCCTGACCATTGCCCAAATGTGTTAACCAAAGTAATTAATGCTTATGTGAGCTAAAACATAAAGCTAAAATAACTAGAGAAAACCTAAATCAAAAATAATTGCATTGTGCCTGGAAAATGCTGCTAAGTTCTGCAAAAAGACAGATGCTGCAAGGTTACTCCAATCCCCACCCTCCTTGAACGCTGATGTAATTTTTATGGTTTTTTTTTTCTCTTTAGAAACACTGTACCCCTGAGTTTTGGCACCAAGAGACATTTTGGAAGTGTTAGCCTACTCTTGATGGGGCCATTAGTAAAGGGCTCACACTCTTTCTTTTCTTCTTGTATGTGCCTTGGTGTTTTGCCTGTGTGTATGCCTGTGTAAGGATGTTGGGTCCCCTGTAACTGTAATCACAGACAGTTGTGAGTCACCACGTGGGTGCTAGGAATTGAACCCGGATCCTCTGAAACAGCAGTCAGTGCTCTTAAACTCTGAGCCATCTCTTCAGCCTCAGGACTCATATTCTTAGTTGGCTTAGTTAGTGTGGCTGTCAGTAACTCTCTGATATGCATCATTTCGGGTAAAACCTATACTTTAGTTTTTTTCCTGAGAGGGTGTCATATAGCCTGGACTGGCCTCAAACTCATTATGTGGCTGAAGCTAGCCTTGAGTTTCTGGAATTACAGGTATGTGCCATTTGAGAGGGTTTTATTCTTGCTTTTAATTTTTTTAATTAGTAAGGATCGCTTCCATTACACAGTACCATAAAGTAGAAAAAAATGCTTTGAGATAGTTTGTTTGGGACTTATTTTGAGCACAGAATGAAGTATAGAGAAGTGTTAAAGGAAGCAAAGTCAACATAAATGATAGGGGACAGGAGGGATGGATTGGGACACTTTACATTCTGCATTGTATGGGCACATTGTACTTTAGATTATAGGAAGGAATTTGCATGTGTATGTTAATGGACTAACTTATATAGTGGTGTTAACCCTTTGTTTACTTAACTCCCCTCTCCTAGGACAGATGCCCCTGGAGGAATACAGCTTGACTTTTACAGGGATGACCCCAGAGATGACCACTCAGCCAGTTCATAGCCAGCTGAAATTATTATTTTTTTTTTTGGAGACAGGGTTTCTCTGTAGCTTTGGAGCCTGTCCTAGAACTAGCTCTTGTAGACCAGGCTGACCTCGAACTCACAGAGATCCGCCAGCCTGGATTCCTCTGCTGGAATTAAAGGCGTGCGCCGCCACCACCCAGCTTCCAGCTGAAATTCTTTCTTCCAGCCAGTTAGGCTACACTCAGGTATTCAGGACAAAAGTGTAGCCCTGAGCATTTAGAGCAAAAGGCTTCTAAAAACAGAATCTGCACCCTGGTATCTCACTCGGCAGCCGCAGGTAGCTGAACAGAAGCTAAGACTAATTAGCTGGGGCATCTTAGAATAGAGTTGGCTGATTTTCCACAGGATTCTCCATCAAGGAGAGAAATTCACGTTAAAACTGAAATGGCCTCAGCAAGAACCCCAGGTGGAGAAAGCACTGCACTGTCTTGCCCTGTCATACGTTATCAGCAAAAACGAACTAGATTTGGCGTTTGTTCATGTGTCTGAGCCCAGAAATCCACAGAATGAGAGAAAAGAATGCCAGGGATGGTATCAAGACAAGTCTCAGAAATGTGCCTGGCCACCTGAGCAGAGGGGCAAGACTAAGCTGCAGAATGACTGACTCCTTTCTTGCCCTTTACCTGCCTCCTTCGTCAGTGTGTGCCCCAGAGAGACCACGGTTCTTTTGTTTTGATTGTTTTGCTTCAAGATCTACCTTCTCGGACTGCTGGCTCTTTGAGTAAAGCGCATCTTGAAGATTCAATTTCTGCCTCTGCTCGGCGGCCTTTGTGGTGACAGCCATTACAACGCCAGCATTCTAGCTACACAAGAACACGTGCTTAACTTGACCCTGCTACAAATAAATTAGGAACCCTTAAGGGTGTTCTGAGTGGCCTTATGGCATCTATCTCTGAACTGTCTAGTTGAAGGACATTAGCCACTAGCTCCCATCAACTGCCCCACTCTCATGATCCCGATCAGATCATACTGCCACTTGCTCCTGAAGGTTTGTAGCAGTTTCCTGAAAACGGAAACATTGCTTCCAGGAGGGAGAGAGCTTCACAGGGGTTATTTGCAAATAGAAACTT